GTCTCCTGATAAAGGAATAAACATTTAAAAAAAAGAAATGAATAATATTAGCTTTGTTCCAACACAGCAGAAAACCGTACAATGTACCGTCACGATTCTGCGCAGAAACTAAAATTGTTATACTGAGTGGTTTCGAAACCGTTCATGGGACGATTTTTTGACGTGTTGGAACAGAGTTATTATGTTTACCTACCTATGTCAATCATAGTTGCGAAACTAATTTCTGAAGGCGTCTTAGGACTCTTCGACGAGTTTCAACTGTGTCGATCTCCACTTTTTGCCATTTTGGTGATTGTGGTTTATCAATTAACGACTCCTCACTGTTTTTGATAATTGGGGCTAAAATTGAAATTAATTTTAATGTTTCTGACCTATGCCCCTTTAAACCTGAATTCTAACACGTTGTTGTTAATCAGAACTATGGGGAGGAGTAAGTGAAAATGTAAGTACGTCTTTCTCACATATATCTAGTATTAACTTACCTTCAGGGAGATACAGCAAAAGCGCAGCATTCCATGTGAGTCCTCGTCTGCCTTTTGGATCGCCAACAATAAATTCTCGACGAAAATGTCTTGTTCACACTCTATAATTATTATAAGCCTTCTCGACACTGAGGCTATTTAGTAAAGGATTGCGAACTTTTTCTAGCCATTGTTTCATTTTTTCGGCATCTTTTGGAAACCGGAAATAGCTGCTGTATTTGTCACCGCACCCCGGAACACAGCATTTCTGATGCTTTTCAATTAACAAACTGGGAGAAGACATTTTGAGATAATAATTATTGATAATTGATAGGTAGGTAATTGATAATTCTAAATGTTGGGAGAAGTTCAAAATTTAAATTTTGACGACTGGAAATGACAAAATAAACTTCAAATCTTGGCGAACGGGCCGGCAGGAAAAAGAAAACTTTAATAGGTTGATTGAAGCGCCTCTAGTGATTGGAGGGGAAAGCTGAAACGACTAGACTGACGTCTCTCATAAGACTTACATTTCTAAGGGGGGATGTTTTGTGGAAGACAGCTGTCCGAAATTCTGAACGAATTTGACTTGGTCATCTTAAAAGGGGCATTTTCTGTGGGGCATTTAAATAAAATGTCATTTACAGACCTTCACAAATTTCTGTTCAATTCCGAATTTAGACCACTTTTCAGTGAAATGAAGTTATGTTCATAACAATAATAGATTGCAGTATGGGTCGAAGCATTTTTGGTTGCAAAGTACGCAATCTAAATAGTAAAATTATTACCAATTTTGTATGCAAATTTTGGTCACGGATTTAAATGAAAAATGGATAAACACATAGAGTAGCACAGCAACAATAAGTTTCCAAAATTTCGGATCATAAAATGCTGGAATAAATGAAAAGAACAGACTTTCCGAAAATGTATGATGTTTTTATTCTAAAATGAATCAAAATCTGCCAAATAAGGAGGTGATTGCTGTCATTTTCAGCAGAGGCTCAAACCAAACCTGTGTTCAGAGTTTCTCTGAAAGATGTCGCTGAATTCGGGAAGCGTAGTCACTTCTTTCAAACGCTAGTAAAAACTGTTTTACCTAGCTAATAATGTGAAATACTATTATTTCATTTGCATCTGAATAAAATTATTCAGTCCACTATATATTACAGTGTAAACGAATTGATATTGAAGATGTCGCCATCTACTTGTAAATAGGTCAATCACTTACAGGGAATTTGCACACCTGTGATTAAAAAATATTTCATGTATGTCATAAAGCCCAAAAGATGGCACGCTGGCTCTTATCTGAGGCCGCTCTTAAATGATGGTTCAAGTACAAGAATCCAACCTACGAATGAAACCCGCAGCTCTAGAGACATCACTTTTACTAATCTTGAAATGGCTTCTTGAACATCCTGGGAAAAAGCTGCAGACTGTGGAACAGCGACCATTTCCCAACAATAGCCAAGTTAAACTGTAAAACAGAGACAAAATCCGCTAGAGACTTCACAATCAATAACATGCCAAGAAGAATATTTCATAAAGCTAATTGGATTGAATATTCTAATAATATAGAACTTCGAAGTGACCTCCTGGAAGATGCTCCGGCATGGGAAACTATGTCCGACATTATTCAAAGGGCTGCTGACCAACATATACCAAAATCAACAAGAAAAGACATAGAAAAAAATAACAATCCCTGGTGGGATCAGGAATGCACAGAGCAACTCAAAAAAAGAAAACCAGCCATCAACGACTACAGAGATAACCCATTCATTGAAAAGTTCATAGAAATGAAACCTATGATTGCAAAAAAAATGCATTGCTTATTGCTCATCTGTGAATCGACATTCCAACTTTAAGGAAGTATGGTCCAAAGTAAGAAAATTTGCTGGAAAACATGGAAATGAAACCCAAACAATAGCTTCAGATGAGTTTAGAGGAAGAATCCTGGATTGGTTATCAGTTTCCAGAGCCCAACCAGAATTTTGTATCCACGATGCGACAGAACATATACCATTCAGCATTAGAACTCTATGCATGCAACAGAGGATCTGTTGCATGTGGTCAACTGGTTTTGTGGTCATACTTATGCATTCTTTCATAATGCTCATGTGGCCGACAAAATCCCCTTTCTTTAGTTTTAGGCATTGTGCTATTCTTGAGGCTCCCATGTAGGCCTCTTTTTTCACTATTATATCTAGTGAGGGGAAGCCCAACATGACCTCCATTGCGGCAATTGGTGTTCATTACTCGCGTAATTCCAAGACATGCATACCTTTGTACAGTTGCCAATCGGTTTTGCGCTGTCTGTTGTTTCACTTTAGGCCACCGCACTATTGCAGCATAGGTGACCATTGTAAATAACCAATAGATCATTTTTGGCTTTAGTCCCCAAGTCTTGCTAAATAATCTCTGGCATGTCCAGTATGTGGCTATTGCCCAGTCGGTTACTCTTTTGAGATGTTGGTTCCAAGTGAGTTTCTGAGCCAAGGTGACTCCCAGGTATTTGACCTCACTTGCGAAATTGATTTGTATCCCATTTAAGGTTGGGGCTGTTACATTCAGCCTCCTTTTCCTTGTACAAGGTACAATTATGGTTTTGTTGGGGTTGACGCTTAAACCCTCCTGTAGACACCATCTGATAATAACATTTAGTGCATTTTACATGAGGTCACTAATGATCCTAACATGCTTACCCCTAATGATGACTGTGAGGTAGTCAGCATATCCTAGGCCTGTGATGCCTTGGGCGCTTAGTCCGTTGAGAAGTTCATCTACTACCAGTGACCACATCAGTAGGAACAATACCCCCCATTAGAGGCATCCCTTGACTGCCGAGACCGTTGCAGAGTCACTTCCGATGGTTGCTTTGATTTTTCTATTCTCGAGCATGGCTTCAATCCATGTAATTGTAGTTTCATTAAGGCCCCTATTTCTAGCCGCTTTTCTTATAGATTATTCATGTGAGGTGTTATTGAAGGCTCCCTCTATATAAATGAATAAACATAGAGCGGTTTCTTGATTAGAATGTGCAATTCAATCTTAGTGACAAGTCTGTGCAGGGCTGTGTAGGACTACTACTACCACTACTACTACTGAAAGCTGTTTATCGCCCATTTGATCTTATTTTCAGTGAATATCCTTCCGGCTAGGCCTTTAGTGCAGTTGGTCAGTCGCGGACTGCCTTTTGCCCTTTTCCCATCAGGTTTCCAGTTGATAGACTCTGGGAAGTGTGTTCGCAGAAGCAGTTTTACACTATCTTGTCTACTTTCAGTATAGCTACCATCGTGTTGGTACCACATATCCTGTCGCACGTCAAGTGGTACTTCTTCTTCTAGCAGCTCTGGTAGGACGAGTTGCAAGAATCGAAGATAAACATGAGCGTTTAAGCATGGGGCCAACAGATATGGTCCAATTATGCAGTTATTTACTATGCCATCCCATATGTTAATGGCAAATTGTTGTTGAAAATGATGCACATGCATTGCGTGTGGGTTCTCCTCAGCATAAATGTGGCTATTTCGACTGTCAAACATACCATAATACAATGTTTGCAAGCGTGGGCACTGCGTGCACTTGTTCAAGTACCATTGGGCAAACTGTACCATAAAAGAATAATCATCTCGCAAGAGCCCTTAGACTTTTTGAAGATGATAGGAATACAGGGCCTGCTCCTTTATGATGCGATGAACGGTCTTGTGATCGCAATTTAGAGCGTGAGCAATAACGGCTCGTGTGCTGATGGAAGGATTGGAGGTTACTTGATGGAGCACTTCTTCCTCAAAATTATTCGTTCTTCTAGAGCAAGGAGCACCATTATCAGGCTTACGTACAGTAAGTGAACCAGTTTCCCTTAAACGACGTTCCAGTGCCGCAAAAGTACAATGATGTTAAGTATATATAAATACGGCAAGATGCTCGACCATTTTTATTCGCGACGCCATAGACGAGCTGCATGTCCGCTAACTCGTTCAAAGAGAAACGATGCATGGTTTCCAAAGTACAGAATTACACACCAGAATCAATCAACAATAGGTGAACACGTTGTTAACAACTTGAAACAATTCTAAACAGCCCAAAAAAGTCTTCAGAGATAAAGCTACTACTAATTAACATTTTACCTAATGATAAGGGAATAAAAGCTCGACATAGGGTTCATCCGGTCAGCTTCAGACTTAAAAAGTTCGTATCTCCGTAGGGGTGCATCTGCGACCTCATGTTCCCTATGTCAAATTACTTGCATTGACCTACCCTACTACCCTTAAACGCGCGTCGGTGTTATTCTGTTACAGCCTGTATAATATAATGGTAAAAAGTAACTTGGTCTTAAATGAGCCATAACAAGAATTACAAATCAGGCAAATTCGATTTGAAACAGCTTATACAGCATAGAACATACGAATAAAATTATAAATAGGTTCAAAAAACTTCGAAATAGATTGATGTTTTGTCAAATTTATTCGACTATTCATTAGGGAAAAATAAAATAACTCTATTTTGATCTCATGCAGATACCTGTCGTTGTTGATTTATTACCTTCAATGTCCGAGTCTGCGTCTGTTAGGCAACAGAGCAAGACAAAACAATGTACACTAACTATTATGGCAAATTTTATGGGTATTTGTTTGTGATCAGAGATATTTTAGAGGTTTGCATGCAGAAGGTTTATATACAGCATATACAATATTTCTTATTTGAAAAAGAATATTCACACGAATTTGTATTTTGCTTTTGAATTGAAACTTATATACCATCCAGATATTATTTTTTTTATCAACCTCCCAGATTTAATACTCCCAGAATATGTACATATAAATAGAAGTCCAACTTACCAATAAGATGTTTAACTTGATTTTGCTTATTATTCAATAAGCCTTGTCTATCTTCTGCGCTCATTGTGGCAGGATCTTCTTCATCTTCGGGACAAGTTTTAACAGCTTCCCTATGATAAATAAATTATTAAAACATTACATCAAAGCAGATTCACAAACCTTATAGCCTGAATCCAAACTTGTTTGTCTTTGGGTTTGTGAATTTTCAGTTCAAACATTTCAGGATCTGCCGGATTTGATGAGATTAAATAAATACCTCTGGAATCTTGACCTGCCTTTTCTCTGACTAACAGTTTCTGCAATGAAACTACACCAGCCTAAAAAGCAACATAAAAAATTTATATAAAATTATTTATTTAAACAAATTTTTACCTTATTGTCAGGAGTAAAAAAGCTATATTTATTTGAATTCTCTTGCAGAAAAAACAAGACATCAGTGAGTACAATAACCAGAACAATTTGCATTTTTGCTCGGCCTTGCATCAACATGGCCACACCTTCAAATTTCAAAGATCTGTTGCCTTGTAGAATATCTGACTTTTTAAATTTATGTCCTCTATGAATCGTAAAAGATTTAGCATCAATTCTGTGATAAATATCTAGTTTTCTATCCTCTTTTTCCTTTTCGGCAACTTGAGCGTCAACCTCCACTAAAATTTCTTTAACCAGGGCCATAGCTTTCTGTAAAGTTTCTTGTTCTTGCTTATTATCTTTGCTGGTTTTAATTAGAGGTTCAATTAACAGGGGATATTTGGTAAGTCTTTGGGTAACAAATAAAATACATTCGGGTATGCCTTTCTTTTTCAATAAAGGATTCGCCTGACAGTGTTTAACGAATTCGCCAAAACGCGCGTCTTGATGTACGTAGTATTTATAGGTTTCAACTGCATCACGATGCCTGCTACAAAATTCGCCATAAGCAGATTTCAACTTGGCAGCGTAATCTCTCGAAAATTGTTCCAACAAAATATCAGCAATAGAAATAACTACAGCGCTTTCTCTTTGTCTTTGTCGGAGTCTTGACAGGAATCCCAAATGAAGTTCAGTCAAATCCATCAAACGTGGAAACATTCTTTCTAAATTTGGCCCAAGGTTAAAATATTTTTGCAATCCATCTACAAAAATCTAGAAAAAACAAAATATGAAACTTTTGAATTTTTATATTCATTAAAGCCTACCTTTTGCATAACCAATAGAGTCATACAATGATGTTTCTCAGTCAAAATAAATTCATAGATGTGCTCTTGTCGTTTCACTTCTTTCTCCTTTAATTTCCTAGCAATTTCTTTGCCGGCGTGTGGTGTCCAGGAATCTGGTTCCGGTTCATGCAACCTTAGGCTCAGATCAGGGCATAAATCAGTTGCAGTAATTGTTGTATCTGACAAAAACTCTGAATGAACTAGAGCTACGTCGTCAGCATAGCTAGATTTAAAAAATAAACAGAGTGAGTTGAATATTTTAATTAGAAATGAACTTACTTGGTAGGATCATGGTGTCCATGGTGAGAATCACTGTCCTTATCATCACAAAGAATTTGGCTGCAATATCAACACATTTCATATTATCGAAATAAAATAAAACAAATTATACATGGAATGGGTTGAAAGTACAACAAAAAATTTATAGATAAAAATACTCATTTGGGCGATGTGTGGTAGTAGGGTCGAGTCAAATAAAAAAATAATAATAATAATAAAGGGAGATGAGCAGCAATTACATGCGATAACTTAATTATAAATAAAATAGATCAAAATTGCATAAATCTACTGGAAAAAAAGGCAAAACGTTATTAAAAATAATGATAATTTGATTGATATCCATCAGGATAACAATTTCACAATAAAAAAAACCCATCCTTGTTCATATGGTTCCACATTAGAGAGATAATTTTTACATAAATTACATACTTTGAAATCTCAGTTAAAATAATGAAATCTTTGACATGGGAAATTATTTTCACTAATTAAATGGATTGTTCACATTATCCAGCTGTGTGCCATTTTTGATTTAAATGTAAGCAAACCAACAAAAATATTCAATAAAGTATTCAAGACCATATACAGTGTCCCGTGTTCAACATAATCTTCGCTACATATGGGAAATTTTGTTTATTTGTAGGATATGGAATTTTTTCTCATGTACGATCGATCCTGCCTGTCCGATAATCTGAAAGTACATTTTAACATTGGTCACGTGATCATTATTGTGGCGGCAAATTCGAAAATTTAGATATGGAAACGCGAAAAGTGGGGTTAGATCAAGGTTGTTTCAAACAACCAGGCAACCTTCCTCTCTCAAACAAGTTGTTTGAGAGAGGAAGGTTGCCTGATAACTTTTATGACGTTATCTGTATGCCTAAACATAATGCCATTGACATAATGCAAATCTCCAAAAGGCATCCCAGATGCGTCATCAAGCTGCCCATTACCAGACAACGGAAAATAACAAAACATAGGAAATTACTTAATACTTAATTTTTGCCAAATGTACTTTCAGGTTATCGGACATGTAGGATCGATAGCACATAAGAAAAAAATCGATATCCTTTAAATAAAAAAAATCCTCATATGTAGTGAACATTATGGGGGACACTGTATGTATAAGGTTTGTCTTATTACACAAATACTTGATATTGAAAATTATAAGCCCTATTAATTTTGAATAGCATTTTAACTTATCCATATCACCCTATCATCTACATGGCATTTTTGACCAAAAATCCACTGCAAAGCAATGAAATTCCCATGAACAGACAAAACATGATAATAAAATTCACAAGACACATTTTTAATTTTTCGAAATGCCTTCAAGCTTAGTTTTATCCAGATAATGCAACATAATAGGCTAGTTAAAATAGGTGGTTGAGGTAGAAAAAATTAGTAACAAAGTGATCTCTGCGGAAATGAGTAGTCAATAGGGTCCTAATTAATCCCTCAAAAATCGCACTTTGTCGCATTGGTGGAACTTGGAAAAAAATGTCCGCCATCTTGATTTTTTTGGAATCTATTGAATATTTCGTAAAGTATGCATTATATCAAAAAAACTCATGAGAACTTTTTTGTGGAAAATCAAAAGTTACCTATATTGAAAGAAATTTCAAGACCATTAGCTAAAAAATGAAAATTATTGACATTTATTTCATTGGCAACATGGAATTTTTCAAAACACCTGAAAAAACTCAAATAAGTATTTTTTTTTGTTCAGAATGAAAAACTGCATTTAATGAAAGAAAAATTCAATAAATTTGAAAATCTAAATATTTTTGTTGAGAGGAAGCAACAACACGTATGACAAGAAAAACATTTGGGCAGGAAACTACCCAGACTCAGACAGCACACAAAGTTTTAAATACGTCTTTTGTAGGTCTGCATTCTGCATTACATATGAACGTCTGAAGACCAAAAAGAAAAACATCTAAAAACTTCCATAATAAGATGTCCTAAATTCACATTTTAAGGACAACTGAGCCACACTATTTCGTACAACCAGATGTAAAAGTGAATAATAGTTCATGTATTCAAAAGAGATTCAAAGACTTCTTTTAGAAATTCCGTTGAACACGTCTTTAGAATGCCTTAGTTCTAAAGACGTCTTTATAGGCAGACGTCTGAAAGGAGTTGGGTTTTGTAACATACGAGTCTTCAAGATGTCTTTAAGACGCCTTAAAGATATAAGCAAGACATTTTGAATGTCGTTTGGTGGACGTAATAAGAACGTCTTTAAGATGTCTACGAAAATTTCCCACAGAATTCATTTTTCATTCAATTTTAGAAGTTACTTGTAACCATTTAGAATGCTATAGAAAACTTTAATAATAAGCCTTTTCGAAAGTTTAAAACACTTAATATTCAATTCATAATTTCCAAAAGAATTCTGTAGCGCTTCAAAACATTTTGGGAACTTCAGAACCATTATTAGAATAGAGCATTTTGGAACAATTTGAAAACTGAGATATTTTAGAACAATTACGATTCAATTTAGAACTGGAAACCTTTTAGAATGCTTTTAAGCCAATTCAACTTCACTTTGGAACTTCAATAGGGCTCTAAAATACCTAAAAATCTGTCAGAACATTCTGAAATTTAACATGGATCTTTCAAAGGAGTAGACTTCCCAATTTAGAAATTACTGAAAAACTTCTAGAATGCTCCAGAACTCTTCAAGCCAAGTTAGAACACTTTGGACAAACCTGAGAATTATTTCAGAGAGCCTAACGCCTGAAATACATAAAAATTGAAAGTTATAGAATGAGTAATAAATAATAGGAAAATATTAACAAGAAAATGTTTCCTCTTTCAATTCAAATTCTTGAATTTTTATAATTTTTTCAATTACAGGCTCTTGATTTTCCTTTACTTCTTTTTCTAAATTCCTAATTTTCTTTTGGCTGTTGAATTTTTTTTTCCAAGTTCTTGAATTCTCATTATTCCTTTATTTTAGAAGTTCAGGCTCTTCATTTCTTTTTTTAATTTCCAATCCTGTCTCTTCAACTGGTTTTCTTCCAAAATGAATTTTTTTCGTATGTTTTCGTTTGAAGAAATGAAGAATTTAAGACCCTGGCATTTGGAATAGACAAAAATTGAAAGTTATAAAATGAGTAATAATAATAAAATATTAGTCCTGAAGACGTCTTTAGGCAGACAACTGAAAGACGTTGGGTTTTGTAACATACGACGTATTTAAGATATCTTTAAGCCGCCTTGAAGATATAAGCAGGTATGTCGTTTGTGGACATCTTAGGGACGTCTTTAAGATGTCCGTGTACTGTCTGGATAGACACTAAATAATTCAAATAAACTGATTTCTTTACTTGAGGGTTTATAAAAAAATCACTAAACCTTCCCAGCAGTGGAAGAAAAAGACTGGAAACTTGAGACCATGCTTTAAACCTTTGACACCAAACTTTTCGATAATTACTGATGTTTTTTTTTTATCTCAATATAGGCATCTTTAATCCTCTACAAAAAGGCATTTTTAAGTTTTATTAGAAAAATGCATACATTTCGCGATTTTAGTTCAAAAATTTCCAGATTTTTAAATAAATTATTCCAATAACTTTCTTGTTTTCCAGCTAATAGTAATGAAATTTCTTTTACTATAAGTAACTTTTTATTTTCCACAAAAAAAGTTCTGTTGAGTTTTTTTGATATAATGCATACTTTACGAAATATTCAATAAATTCGAAAAAAATCATGATGGCGGCCATTTTTTTTTCCAAGTTCCACCAATGCGACAAAGTGCGATTTTCGAGAGATTAATTAGGACCGTATTGACCACTCATTTCCGCAGAGATCACTTTGTTACTAATTTTTTCTACCTCACCTGCATAAACCTGCCTAGATTGACTACGCTATAAAGTTATATAAAGCTTATAACAATAATTGAAATAAAAAAAATCCAATCAGTAAATAAATAAAGTAATGGTATATTTTCATTGGTCCTGATAAAGCAGCATAAAGGTATATAAAGCTTATAATAATAAAACTAAAACTTTTGGAAAGCTTTCTCAGAATAATATCTTATCCCTCCTACAGCATATTAAAATATTGTTTTTCTATTCCCCCTTTGTTTTATTTTTATGGTGTGCTCCTTGCTGGATTACATGTATAGTATGGCCTTTCTGAATATGTTTTAAAAATTTTTTTAGAAAACATATCAAATTGTAATATTTTAAAGTTTTCATGGTGTGTGTAAATTTTAATAGAGTAAGAATTATTCTATTGTACAAGGTGCATTCTGAAAATTCATCATGAATCACTTTTCGGGCTCGGAGGATGAAATTGTGGCCTTTCCATGCTGTCCTAATAAGGAACAAAGATTGAGATTTTGTTGTTGTGTTGTGTGTCACATAATTGTACACAAATCATTTTGGTCTAGGAAAAAGCACATGATTCATATTGAGGAGCAAAAAGTCTATTGTTCGAAGACCTGCTTCCAACTAGGCATCAATGATAGGGACAGTCAAACTTTGCAAAAGCTTGAAACGGAAATCGCCGAGCTACAGTGTAATCTCGAGCTTCTGAAAAGACAGGTTGAGAACCCTAGAAGGCGCTCAGTGCTCTTCGAAGATGAGGTATCTAACATGGAAGAATACTATAAAGCGGAACTTCAAAAATATAAAGCTTTGACTATAGAGCTCCAGCAAAAGCTTCGTGATTATCATGATTCTCCAGTATGCTATAAATCCTCTAGTACTAAATGTGATGCTAGTACTGGAGACTGTTCTAAATGACGATATATTGAACGAGGCTTTACTCCTCCACAGCTTGCTGAGAATTCAAGTTCCTAAATCAACTCAGACTCACAGGGCGATTCTTTCCTTAGCGGTAGAAGAATAGAACGTTAACTTTTTTAGGCCGCAGCATTATTCGACACTAATCAGTCCTCCTGCACTTGTTTCAGCCTTTGCCACCTGTGCTGCGACTCGACAAGATATTTGTGCTAAAACGCAACTCAAGAAGAAAATACTCATATGTGGTGACGCAAGTGCCAGGAATTATTCCTCTACACTTGCTGAGTTGTCTATTTTGTATTCTAA